GAAGAGGTAAATACTGATTCTAGAATCTAATGCGAACATAATTCGTTCCAGAAAAAAACTCCTGGTATTGCATGCAATACATCGCTTGTTTATGTCAAAATGTATTAGAAATGTTTGCTCATCTTGCGGAACACCCACAAACCATGCTACTCGTAATCCAAGGTTTTGCTGTATATGCTAGCATCCCAACTTTGTGTCCCATAACAATTTAATGAGCAGATCCAAGTTACTTACATGACTTAGAGCAAGGTCTGGAGCACACCCCAAGAAATCTTCAGAATAATCCTGATCTATTAACCTTTGGATATGGTTATTAACTGCTTAAATAATTTATTAACTATCCTAATAATCAGCCAACAGTCTCATATTGTGAGACTGCTGGAGAGCTTGTGAAGGCAAATGATTTTATTATTTCCACAATTATCAATCCAGTAACACAGAGGGCTAGTTTGACAGGCCCTGTTCTGAACTGTGAACCTATACTGGCTCCTATCAATTCTTTTTTCCCAAGGCAAAGCCAAAACCCGCCTTAATAACCTACTCATCCCACCAGATACATCATACGGCCACAATAAGTAAGTGAACACAGGCAGATCAATGGAATAGAAAATAAGGTCAAGAAAGAGAGACCCAAGGGGTTGGTCGAGTGGCTCAGTTGGTTAACAGCGTGAGCTCCGAGCAACAGGGTTGCCAGTTCGATTCCCACATGGACCAGTGAGCTGCGCCCGAGTTGAGCTGCTGCTGAGCTGCCAACAGGTGGCAGGATGGCTCAGCTGGTGAGAGCATGTGCTCCTAACAAGTTGCCGGATCCACTCCCACATGGGATGGTGGGCTGTGCCCTGTCCCCGCAACTAGATTAAAAGCAGTGACTAGACTTGGAGCTGAGCTTACGCCCTCCACAACTAAGATTGAAGGACAACTTGACTTGGAGCTGATGGGTCCTGGAAAAACACAATGTTCCCCTTCCCCAATTCCCCAACACTGTTCCCTTCCCCAATTCCCCAATAAAATCTTTAAAAATCAAAAAAACTAAAACCATAAAAGCATGGCATCATAAAACTACTAGAAAAAAATGTTAGCATCTTCTAACAATCTCAGAATGGTGAAGGCTTTATTTTTATTTTTTATTGGGGAATTGGCTTAGGGGAACAGCATTGGGGAATCGGGGAAGGGGAACAGACAAGTTGCTGTCCTTTTGTTCTTCAGTCTAGTTGTGGAGGACATCGCTTCACTGGCCTATGCCGGTATTATCATTGCGCATTTCCCAGGTGAGGCAGATTGGTTGCCAGCCACTGGATGGCCGATCACGGCGGCTCTTGGCAGCTCACATTGGCTGCCGGCCACTCACACTGGCTTCTGGCTGCTGACGCTGGCTGCTGGCCACTCATGGTAGCTTACAGGAGCCCACTGCAGCTTCACTGCAGCCTATGTCATCGCCAGTGACTCACGGCAGCCCCGCTCCAGGTCGAGCTGTTGTTCACCATCTTAGCTGTAGAGGGCACAGTGTCACTGGCCCTCATGTGGGATCCAAAGTGGGGCCCTGCTGCTCAGAGCTGGTGTCCCAAGCCAACTCTTAACCAATGTGCCACTCAGCCGGCCCACTTTTTAAAAATATTACTCAAAACCCAGGAGTATTTAAGACTGGTAAATTCAATCAATAAAAATGGAAATTTTAAGCATGGCAAAAACCACTATAAGCAGTCACAAGACAAAAGTAAACTGTCAAAAAAATTGCAACTCTTATATACAGAGGATAAATTTTCCTCATATAAAAAGCTATAAAACAAGAAAATAAACCAACAACTGAATAGGCAAAACATATGGACATTTCATAGAAAAGGAAATTTAAAGAGATCTTAAATATATGAAAAGAGCTCAAACTCTCATGAGAGAAATATAAATTAAAACTCATTGATGTGCCATTTCCCATCTAACATATTGGCAGGTCATAACATGTAACAATATACACTGGGGCAAATGTTTGGGGAAACACCCATATTCCTGGTGGGGCAAAAACTGGTACAACATCCATGAAAGGACTCACCAGTTCTAGGAATTTATCCTACAGATAAATATTTATGTGCAAAATGAACACGTACATGTTCACTTGTTTTGTGACAGCATAAGATGGAAGAATTGACATAGTCAATTGACAAAATTGACATAACCAGTCAGGGACTGATTAATTACAGTATAATGAAATTCTAGGCAGCTGTAAAAAAAAAAAAGAAAGAATGAGGAAGCTGTGTATGAACTGAAATGGACTGATCTTCAAATTCTGTCAAGTCCACCTTCAAAAGTCATCTGGAATCCCAAGACATCATCTCTCCTGGCTGATAAGCTTCCGAACTGGCCTCTGCTGCCACCCTTACTCCCTTCCACCTACTTCCCAAGAACAGTCAGGTCCTGGTAAGGCATAAACCACATTATGCTAAATCTGCTCAAAACCTTCCAGTGGTTTCCTACCTCACTCAGAGAAGCTGTTAAGTCCTGCATCACGATCTCCCCATTCCCACTCCCACCCTATTATTTCTCTGACATCTCATTTTCAACCTCACTGGCCTCCCTGCTTTCCTTCAACACCCCAAGAATGTTCCTGCTTCAGAACCTTTTCTTTGTTGTGCCCTCTGCCTGGAAAGCCCTTCCCCCGGAAGTCCACACTGCTCTCTCCCTCAGCAACTTGGGTCTCCATTCACTGTCACCTCAGCCAGACCTTGACCATCCTACTTAAAATTGCACAGACACACACAAATGTAGTAACATGGTGGATATATGGGTGTTCTATAATTCTTTCAACTTCATGTCTTAAATTTTTCCTAAGAAAATGTTAAACACACCCAAACCTATTCCCCTTTCCTTGCTTTCCCACTGCACTTGTCACCGTCTAACATCCATTGTACTTACTGTCTACCCCACACACAACATACAGAATTCAAACACCATTTGGGGAAGAACAGGGATTTGTTTTTTTCACTGCTCTATCTCTAGTTTATAAAACAGTGCCTACTGCTGCACCATCAAATTCCTGGTTTTGATATTGTACTATAATCATGGAAGACGTGAATGTTGCAGGAAACAAGGCCAAGAGGGTCTTGTCACTCTCTCCCCATCTGTAGTCTTTGCAAACTCGTGTGGGCCCCCTCATACTTTAAGAATATATGTATTAGTGAGAAAACTGTGCCAAGTACATAATTGGTACTCAATATTTGTTGAGTAAATCCCATGACTTAGTGAAATTGATTCATATTCAGTGATAACATACTACTACTTGTGTGAAAAGGCAAGAGTTTTTATACAAAATTGCTTATATATGCATATATTATCTCTGGAAGAATATATAAAAACTGATCATACTGGCTGCTCTGAGTAGAAAATCTGGGTGACTGGAGGACAGGGTGAGACTTCAGTAAAACTTCTGTACCTCTTGAGTTTGGAACCATGTGAATTATCTACTCACAATTTAAATTTCAAAAATTTCTGTTCTAGCCTCTTCCTTGGGGTCAGTCAACTTTATCTATTTAGTTTCCACATTCTTTCCATTTTTGAAAAATCACTACTGCAGTTTTCACACCTCTGCGCCTGTCCTTGCAGTGATCCTTAAGTCTTAAATGGCCCGCTCCACTTTTTTAAAAAAGCTCTTGAACTTAAATCAGAGAAAAACAAACAGCTATCAAAGACATTTTAGGGATAAACAGGAAATCTGAATATCACAATTTACTATATACAATACTATTGTATTACTGTGATTTTTTTAAGTTTGATAGTGGGATTGTGATTATGTTGAAAAATGTCCTTAATCTTAGAGGACGTAACATTGCAGAATTTAGAGGTAAAGGGCCATGATGTTTGCAACTTACTTTTAACATGGTCCCACAAAAAAAGAAGTGTATGCATATACATGTGTACTGATTACAGATATATGTGCATATATAAATACATCTTTATGTAGACAGACATTATACAGATAAAAACTAATGTGGGAAAGTGTTAATCTACGCAAAGGTTATACACTGTAAACTATTCTAACTTTTCTGCAGGTTTGAAATTTTTGAAAAGAACAAGGAGGGAGAAATTATTTAAAAACCTCTACTAAGTTCCCCAAAATCAGCTCAAATGTCACTCCTCAGAGGTCCTTCAGGATACATGCAGATGGGAAGTCACTCCCTTTCTGCATTTCCAAGGCACTTTACTTATGTTCATCCTTCAATAGACTAAGAATGAAAAAAAAGTATGGGGCATCTACTTCAAGCCCACAAATTCCAATACCCTCTCATGTACACACCTCTACGTTCATTATCACACGTGCATCCCAGCAAGGCCTAGAAGAAATAGAAGTTCTTAAAGGGATCAGACAGTGCCTAGTTAATGCCCAAATCTCAAGAGTGGGAAGGAAGGCCTGGGGTAAGCTTGTCAAGTTCCTGCCAAGGAGGTACTGGGCTGGAGGTGGAGGGGGTGGAACTGGGCTGTCACTGGAAGGACCTCAGAACAGAGCCCAACCCCCATACCCACTATGGATGCCCCTTTAATTTGGGATGCCCTAGGTTCAAATCTCACAGAATAACTAAACTCGCTATCTTTTCATAATTTTCTAAACTTCCATCACAATTACTCAGCCTGCTCTTTCAGACCAAGGGGCTGTGTGTGTGTGTTCACAGGTTCACTCACTAGAACACTTAATCCCATACATTCCCATACTTGGATGACAAACTCAGAAAAAGGGCTACATCTTCTTGCTCCTTACAGTCTTAACCACACAGGCAACCCAGCACATACTTAGCATTAGCAAGAGCCAAGGGCAAAAATTCTCAAAGACTGACACTCATTTGCTGAGCAACAGGACAGTGTGTTACCCCTGTAAGTCAGCGGTTCCTCCTCTGGACAATGGCGACAACAGGACAGCGATGGAGAACTTGGGGAATGTTACGGATACCTTGAAAAGTACCAGAGACAGTGAGGCTTCTGGCTGGAGACACAGCTGTGGCAAAAGGCAGAAGCAGCAGTCGATAAACAAGGACATAACTTTATTGGAAATGAGGAGTGTGGGGTGCGGGAGAGGGCTAGGAATCAGGCTCTGTGGCCGGTGGTGGCTTCTCGTCATCAGGAGGACAATCGATGAAGTCAGCCAGCATGGCAGCTGTGTCATCCTGCTCCTTTTAAGGACAAAAACGTAAGATTCAAGTCACACACACTGACCATTGTCATCCCAATAATTGTAATTAAAAAAAAATAAAGTCACATACACACACAGTAAGGCTGGGGACAAACTCCTTTCCTCTCCTGGCCCTCCCCAGCCCACCCCTTAGCTGCCCTTCCTGCCTGGCCCACTCGCCTTTTCCTGGAGATCTGTGGCATCTGTCTCCGTCTCCATTTCTTCTGTTGCAGATGACTCTGGTGGGGGTGGTAAATTGTCACCTCCAACTTCAGTCTCCTCTTCCAGAAGGGTTGGGGGAGCACAGGGCTCCTCTTCCACAAGCTCCTGAGGGGGTGACCCTGCTGGGGGGCTCCCCACTTCCCTCTCCAACTCCCCCTGGGAGGGGAGCACCTCCGGGGCCAGTGTGGGCGCTGTCTCGGCCCCATGCTCCTCCTCAGCCCCTGGCTCCTCCACTTCCAATAGCAGCCCGGGCGCGGGCTCGGGCTCGGGCTCGGGCTGGGGCTCAGGCTCGGGCTCGGGCTCGGGCTCCGGCTGCACCTTGGGGGACTCAGCAGGGGGCAGGGCCGGAGGCAGGCTGGGGGGCGGAGGGCCTCCTTCTTCGACCTCCCCCGCTGCTGGGCCAAACTCCAACTCTTCCACCTCTTCCAACTCTTCCTCCTCCTCCTCCTCCTCCTCCTCTTCTTCCTCTAGCTCACCTTCCTCTTCCTCAAATTCCTCCTCAAACTCTTCTTCCTCTTCTTCTTCCTCTTCAAAATACTCTTCTTCATCCTCTTCTTCTTCCTCAAAATCTTCCTCCTCCTCCTCTTCCTCCTCCTCTTCTTCCTCCTCCTCCTCCTCCTCCTCCTCATCGCTGCTATTGATATTAATAACTGTCAAATCTTCTTCCAGGGCTGGGGGTCCTCCCCCACCAGGAGTCCCTTCAGGGACCAACTGGGGTGGTGGGAGTGTCACAGGGCCCGGAACAGGAGGAGGTGGGGGTGGAGGGAGAGGCCCTGGGGTGGCAGGAAGCTCTTCAGGCTCTTCCTTGGCTGGTAGAGGAGGGGAGGCTATTGGTGGTCCAGCTGGGGCTACAGGGGGTGGTGTGGTGCCAGAAGGGGTTGGGGGCGGAAGAGGCGGCAGCCCCTCAGGCACGATCACCACACTGTCATCAGAGTCGCTTTCCAAGGAAATCTCCACATCGGACGCCTCCTCCTTATCATAGTGGACAAATGCTGGCCTGGGCACTCTCCCCCCAAAAGTTTCATCTGGGGTTATCGTAGGTGGAGGAGTGCTGCTAGGGGCAAGGACGGGGTCCTCATTTGAGCCTGCCTGGTGGTTCTCAGGCCCAGGAAGGAGCCGGGGAGGTACAGACACCAGGCCTGGGACAGAGAGGCCTAAGTGGTTGGTTGTGGCTGGAGGTCCAGGGCGTGCTGGGGGCATTGGGCCTGCTGAGGGCATTGAGCCCACTGAAGGCATGGGGCCCGCTGAGGGCATGGGGCCCAATGAGGGCATGGGGCCCACTGAGGGCACGGGGCCTGCTGAGGGCATGGGGCCTGGGGGATGGAAGGGAGGGGTCCTGAATGGAGATGGGGCCTCAGGAGGGGGAACTGGGGCAGGGGTGGGGCAGGTGGGGCCCATGGACTGCAGAGGAGGAACCCGGGGGTGGATCAAAGCACTACAGATCACCAGGGCCTCTGAGCAGAAAGAGGAGACCTGGGGAAGAAAGAAAAAGCAAGTGTGAGTATCTGGAATGCAGGGTTTCACGGTACCAGAGACGAGAGCCTGCCAGCATCAGAAACGAGAATCCTAAACCCAAGAGGTGGACATGGCCCCAGTCAGCAGTTACCTCAATGTTGTCTTCTCTCTGGCCAAGGGAGAGGGCTTGCAGGGCACAGGCGAGAGGAGGTGGGCAGCGAGGAGAAGGTGACAACAGCAGAGCCAGCAGGAGGCGGTAGAGTTCACGGCGGCAGCGAGAGCTGGTGTATGGGGAACTGCCTAGGACCTCACCCTGTTGGACACCCATGACCAGGGGTAGGACCAGATCATGCAGTCTCTGAAAAGGACACAGGGCACACCTAGAGACACCATCGAGACTACCCAACCCTTCTCCAGAGCCTCCTCCCAGGGTGGAATGGAGCCCCTCTGGGGGCACAGCCCCGGCATTGACAGGCAGTGGCCCCGCCCCAATCTCCATGGGCGTCAGGCCCCACTGACCCTGTGAGTCTCCTCCTTGATGAGAGGCCCGCACATGAGGATGCTTTGGCTGAGGCCTGAGGAAGGAGAACGGTGTTTAAGAGGCAGGCTACTGACAAGACAGAGCAAGGGCTTCTCAGCATACAACCCAAGGTGAGCACCCGCTATGCCTCTGCCCGTCTCACGGAAGTCACTTGCTCTAAGCTTGTTTTCTCCACTATGAAAAGGGGATCATTCAAGTACCTCTAGTGCATAGGGCTGCTGATAATGTAAGTGCAAGATTATAAATGTGCATTTATATATCTGGGGAGCATTGGCTCTCCTCTTCAAACAAGGTGGGGTGGCAGGCAAATATAGAGGACCCAAAGGAGTCACCACCCATTAACTGCACAGTAATCGACTATACATTTGCTTCCAGATTAGTGATCGTGTTGGAAGCAGAAAACCCCACTGAGCAGCCTGCCAGGGGAGAATGTAAACTCCACAGGGTAGGGTCTCCCCTGTGCTACAACAGTGCCTGGCATGTAGAGAGGACACGCAAACAAGATAAATGAGGTCCTGGGGAGGGAGCAGTGAAAATGACCAGAACCGCCCCATCCTAACAGCAGGATCCAAGATTCCACCCACAGCCTTGGTAGCTCCATGCTTGCTTCTGCTCCATCTTTTGGCCTTTCTGCAGGCTTTTAGCTGGTTTTGCATCTTATCTACACCCTCCACTTCAACAACTGGTTTTGGGCTATGGCCGCAGGCCATCCCAGCGCCCCAAGGCCTCACCTACCTCTCAGCGCAGCTGCACACACATCGCTGTTGGCATTGCTATCCCCTTTCCGGTGGCTGGGTGGGGCCACAGCCTCCCCCATGTCTAGCTTTAGCTTCTTGGGGGCGCTGGGCTTCCCTATCTGCAAACTCCCATCAGGACTCCCCCGGGGACTGCGCAGCTGATGGGAGAGAAAAACATATATCACATTCTCAGGGAAACATGAAGGCAGGACAGAGTCAGAACATGGTGTTTGGTGAGGAGGCTCATTTCGAGAAGGCGCGCCGGATGAGAGGCCTGCCACAGGAGAGGATGAGCAGAGGCCATACTCACTTTAAGGGCATCAGCTGAGGGGCAGATGTCACTGAGCAGGTGGGTGAGCAGGGCCTCTCCTGAGGCTCCTCCCTGAAGCACTCCTGCTGAGGTGCCACATACCTGCACCCACAGCTCTAGTATAGCGTACACCTTGGTCCGCATGGCGCTGTTGAGTGAGCAGAGGGGAGTCAACATGCCACATCCCGCCTCTCCTCTCTCGGTACTCCCAGCACCTGGGAGCCTCCCACCCCACCTGCATCCCCTCACCCACCCTCTCCTCTTTATTCCCGTCCTTGATGGTCACCTGTAAGGCTTCTCCTGGCCTGGAGAGAGAGCATCCCTACCAATGCTCCATGCATTGAGGACCTGGGGAAGCAGGCGGCTGATCAGAGCACCAAAGCGCAAAAGCCGGCCTCCACACCTGAGGGCGAAGACACAACGTTAGCCCCATTCCCAGTATGTCTCAGTCCCTTCACCCCACATTGCCCAGTCCCACTCACGCGAGGATGAGTGCAGAGAGCAGGTCCAAGGCTTCAAGGTGGATAGAGGGCAGCAGCAGCAACCTCAGAGGACCATCTCCAAGTAAGCTCTGCAGAAATGTTGGCAAAAGAAAGAAGTGGGGGAAGAAAGTGAGACACAGAGTGAAAAATGGAGACAGAAGATGCGTGTGACTAAATACATGTGTGCACAAAGGTAAAGAACCCCCACCCCAGCTCTCCCAACAAAATCAAATCCTATCCTGTAAAACAGACCCTGGAAGGAGGATGAGGGGAGGGATGGTGGAACCTCCCAGCAATGACTCAGTTGGCCCTCTAGTTCATTGTCCCCTAGGGAGGTACGTGCATTATGTGAGCAAATCCACTCTGACCTGCATGTGTGTCGGGAGAAGCACAGGGAATAATGGCATTTGGATAAAAGGAAGGAGATATCCAGGACAACCTCAGGGGTGACACTCGTTTTGGTTGCTTCAGATCCCACACTACTTTCCTGGTGGCCCTGGGTCCTGAAGGACTCTGATCAGGGAACAAACTCTACTTACAATATTCTTGGCACTGATGCTCAGGGTCCGGCAGACGATATCCAGGATTTCCTGCACAGGGACGGACACGGGAGCCGCAAACTCAGAGCTAAAGAGAATCAGAGCCGGGAAACCCTCAGCATACGTTCCCCAGTGTGACTCCACACCCACCCTCAATCGCCTTCCTCATGATGAAGGCAATACCCCCATCTCAACCCCTCCCACTCCAGGCCCATGCTCCCTCCAACACTCACTCACACACCTGAGCATGAGCCCCAAGCAGCGGGCCAGTCCAGAAAACCTCTGCCAAAGACGGAGAAGGACATGGGCGTCACCCTCTTCTGAGGGGGAAAGCAGCATCTCCACTCCAGGGCCTTCATACTGCATAGGAGCTGGACAGAAACACAACCACCTTCACACTCCAGGGATTTCTTCCATACCCTCCCTTTTCATTTGTGGTGGATGACCCACCTATATTCTAACCCATTCTGCCTAGGAATCAACTGCCCCGCCTCGCTGGGCCACCCTCCTGTCATGTTCCGCAACCACCCTGCCACTAATTACCAGCCATGGCCCCTACCCGGTTCCGCTCCCTCGTACAGGGCCCCTAGCAGGCTGTGGAGTGAGGCCAGCAGGCTGTGCAGCTCCTGCTCCCAGCTCTCGGTGTGCTTCAGGCCCTGGGAAAAGCCAGCCCCTAGAGAGGGTACCCGGGAATAACACTCACAGGCCAACTGCAGAAGAAAGGTCAGAAGCCTGGTCAGATGAGAATCCAGCCCAGCCACAGAATCCTCCGGCCCCACCAATGCCAAGAAAGATGGCCATCACAGAGAGCTCTTAGGCAACACAGAAAGGGACAGTGGGGCAGAAGAACACAGATGGAAACACGGAGACAGAAGTCACGCCTTAGGCATCTTATATGTGTTAACAGGGAAGGAAGTGAGAAAGAACATGGTCCAAAAGCAGTAACAAGAGAAACGCTAAGAATGAAACATTAAGTGAAGCTACAATTCAGATTCCCAAGCTCTCCATCTCCCTCCTTTCCCTTTACCTGCTGGAGCTGAGGGCTCAAGGAATCCACCCGAGACAGGAAAAATGCAGCCAGCTTGCCCTGGGTTAGTGGAAAAGAGAGAAAAAGCTGGTGGGTCAGCTCCAAGGCCAGAGATATACACCCTGTCCGTTCCCAGCAGCAGAACCTAAGCCCTGGCCTTTTTCTTTACTGCAGACACAGGACGCAAAGCACTCTAGGGGGCAGCACACCAGAGAGCAGGAATGTTCTCTTGGTAGAAAGACATCCTGAATGTCAGCTCTTATCCTTAGCCTCCCTGTTTGGTGGGGAAAGGGTCTGGACCCATGCCCCAGACACTGGGCTCCCTGCTGCCAGTTTTTACAAAATGATGGTCCTCTCCCTCAAGCCAAAGGGCAGAGTAATGAAAAGCAGCAATCCCTATACCCAACTCCCTACCAGCTTAGACAAGAAATAAGGGTCCAAGCTGGGAGTTGAGGAACCAGAGGTGTGAGGGCAGGCCAAGGTCAAGAGAGACGGGAAGGCCCCAGGGCAGAACTAAGGCAGCACACCTCAGAGCAGTGACCTGTCAGCCAGCAAACATTTACTCTGCTTGCTATGTGAGGGCACTAGCACAGGAATGTTTAAACTGGGCCATAATTTATTTGGGGGTAGAATCAAAGGGGTCTATGAAATGGATGGGGGGGGGGAAATGATGTCATTTTCACTAACCTGTAAGTGAAATGTAGTGTTTCTTTCAATTATAAATGTCAACAAAAAGCCACAGTAGTATCAGCAGTACCTCTGACTGTCACCAATAAAAACCACTCATTTTCTTTTCACATTATATTGGGTTGTCGGAAAAGTCATGACGTATTTTTTCTATGTTTTTCGTTGCAAAAATGTGTAATGACTTTTTTGACAACCCAATAATTGTAACAGGTATCTGAAATATCATTCACATATTTCCCAAATCTGAAATTCAGTAGTTAATAGATCTGCTGCTAGATCTTATTAATACGTTAATGAAGACACACATACTACTCTATGAAAAACTTTTTAAATATATTATTTCGATAAGATTGGTTTTCCTTAGTATTCCACGTATTTTATGTATTTAAAAACATTCTGAGAAGGGGTTCATGGCATAAAAAAGGGTAAGAACACTGAAGCAGATCTATTGGGTTGTCGGAAAAGTCATGATGTCCTTTTTCTGTTTTTCGTTGCAAAAATGCCTAATGACTTTTCCGACAACGCAATATATAAAGGAATGAGACAGGAGTTCTACCTTCAATGGGATGTGAGTTAGTCAGGAGACAGGTGTATGGAAAACAACCTCCAACCAACAGTGGCACCATGAGGGGGCAGAGGGAGAGTCAAGAGTGACTGATGCTGGCAGCCGGGACTGGCGTGGGCAGGACTGAACTGGGCTTAGAAGAAAGAAGAGAATCCCCATGAAACCAGAGAGGGGAAAACACTGCGGAAAGCTACAGACCCAGAAGACACCATGGAGAAGCAGGCTGAGGCCTTAAATCCCAGCCTCGCAAGGAGGGACTTTATCGGGGGGCAGGGTCACTGCATACACAAAGGAAACTTCCAGGGGCTGGCTGAGTGGCTCAGTTGGTTAAGAGCTCGCTCAAGAGTTTGAGCTCTGAGCAACAGCGGTTCAAGTCCAGCCCGAGCT